AGAAAAGGGAATCCGAGAGCCTTTATTGGCGTACCTAATTAAGACTACTGGAAATTATGGTATAGCTTTTATATTAGTAGAGCAGCTAATTTCATAAATGGATGATTCTAACATTTGGTTATCTGTGTCCTGCATAACTGTTGCAAAGTGCCTTGTAGGTGAGGAGTAGGCGTGTTTATTCAAAGGCTCCCTCCCTCTTTCACTTTCACTGAGTAAGGTATAGCTCTTTTTTCCTTTTCTTCTTTACTCCACCTTTTGCAATGTGCACCCTGTAACAAATGAGGCACCTAAAGGCGGGCAGATGGATGTTGAGCCAGCTAAGTGGGAGTCCAATGATGGCGTTGGTAAGGCCAAAGAGTAAATTTTCATTCAACATTGCTAAAAGCTTCCAGCAGTCCATTAGGATAATCTGCATGGTGTTAAAGTACAAATCGTATGCCCTATGACATGATCATAACACTGTTTTTTATCCATGATAACTATTTTGCGTGGGTTTAATGGAGCAAGGTTAAGAATACTATTTTACCCTGTAATGAGATAGTCAGAGATAATCCGAATCTTGCAAATAATATGGGAACTACAAATAAAATCTACACAAAGGACTGTAGATTATTAATGGTTTCAGAGCTAGAGCTAATGGTTTTCTGTCAAGCTGTTAGTTGTTTTATTGCGATGCCAAGTTATATGACCCATGGCGACGCGATTCAAGAGTATAATTGCCCAGCCGGGCTCCAAGTGTCAAGACAAAAATTTATGTTTCACCGGTAGTGTGTAGATGCGTGGACACAGCGAATAAATAGCAATGGGAGAAGGGTGGAACTAAGAGATCGCGGCTCGTTCATCCCATCTGCCTGGAATCCCAGCATAAATTTCGATCTCTCTGCATTTGCCTTGGTAGCCCGTCCAATTGTGCACGCATCCAGTCGTTCACAGAGATCTAAAAATGCCAAATTCCATAATTTGAAGCACACATCATAAATGTAGCGGAAATACTACCATTGGTGTCAAGATTCATTGCGCTATCCCTCCGCTACCCTCTGCTCAGCCTCTCTTGTCTGTGCACGCTTTTCGGATGTGCCTTGTCTCACGCTCGTGTTAGCACCGATTGCAAATCACCGCAATGATGTGCATAATTGATGTGCACAGCTTCACCAACTGACAACAAATTCTGTTTTAAACTGGCCTTGATGAGGGAAACGTTTAGGGCTAATTTAAAGTCACATTCACAAAGTCAGTTGCATTCAGTCTGGTTGTAAGTTATTAAACGTTAATAAAGTCACACTTTAACAATGATGCGCTGACAAATACGATTTAGGAAACTTTTACAATTTCTTTAAAAATACCATAAACTTAAATATTGCAAGCGGTAGAATATCAATCCCTTAATGTTACTATAGCAGGCGAACTATTACACAATATATGGTACGAGTAAACCGCTTTTGATGTAACATATTCCATCAAGGATATCGAAGCCCACAATGGATGGATCATTTCCAGATTATACGTATTTTATGAGACAAGTGTAAGAGCTATTTTCATGAGTATTTAGCACCACGACGGACTG